TCTGATGTTTTGGTTGTGCAGCACCTTGGTGAGCACTTGTTGCTTTTAAGGTGCTATATAAATAAACTTGACCTAAATAAACTTGACTTGACGGTCATGCATGAAAAAAAAATACCGTCATGTACCGTGAAACCGGTATAATTTTGAAAAATACCGTGATATAAATTTTTGGTCATACCGCCCAGCACTACTCTATATATTACATTAGCAAAGATGCTTTTTCTGTCATTTAACATTTATTGACTAAATACTTTCTATTTAGCTCATGCTGTTCTTTCCAAGTGACTTACAGTATGATTGCTGGGATAGTTTTGTTTTGTTTTAATAATTAATAATTGGGTTTTATTTAAGACTGTGGAGGGCGAACCTCCAAAAATTATACATTATAATTATAAAGTATGATTATAAAGTTAATAAAGAAATTCTAATAAAAATATGAATGCTATTTATTAAAGCTTTTATTTCTTACCTACAGCTGTCTATGAGCAGTCCTGTGAGGCCTACAAGCATTTGGGGAGATCATCTGATTCCTACTGGATTGACCCAGATGGAAGCGGACCATTAGGTCCTTTTAAAGTCATCTGCAACATGACAGGTAAAATATGCATTTTTTATTTATTTGTGGCGTACCATAGCACTGAATCCAAAAAGACCACCGATTGCACCTGATTAATAAATCAAGCCTTTTACTGAGTATTGCTTTCAAGAACCCCTGTATCCCAAGCTTCTGAGTCAGGTTTTTAAAATCCCTCCTATCGCCTTCAGAGACAATATTTTATTTCAGCATCTCAACCCATTTGTTTTCAAGCCTACTAAGCATTATCTCATCAGCCTAGGTCCATGTCATCCCACTGATCCAAAAAGAAATAGCTAAAATAAATGGAAGCCTTACATGTAGGGACATTCAAGTATGTAGGAACATCAAGACATAAAATGTTATCATTTCAGGGCAGGAACTGTAGTCATCTCAGAGCATAGGAAATCCCTGAGAGGACACGGTAGAGAGCAAAAATCATTCTGAAAAGAAAGTGTCTGTCAATTTCAGAAATGTGTTATCTTCATTTAACATTTTTATTTTATTGTGAAGGGTAAATCTTGTGATTCTTTGAAGTGAGAAGGATTATGGCTACAGGATCAGGTGGATTTGAATATTATAAACAAAAAATGTTTTTTAGAATGTCAGTTTTTATTAGGTCCCATTAAATAAAAATGAATACATGGAAGGAAATATTGCCATAAACAAAGCTGTTTATACATATGGATCCAGAATGTGTTAAATCAGTTTGTAATTGCTTATTTAGTGATTTGTTACTTTAATGAGAAAATCACTTCTTGTTTTCATAGGTCAATTTAAAAAAAAAAGAAAAACATTAACTTTTTCTTAAAAAATAATACATTTGGAAACTTCTTTACTGTGGTATGTGTTTTGCCCTTTTAGCTTGATAAAATTCTAAGATGATTATTCATTATGAATCATTTATCATTTGTTTTTAATTATTAATTAAATATTATGTATACACTACTGTTCAAATGTTAGGCGTCATTACCTTTTTTAAAGAAATTAATACTTTTATTCAGCAAGGATGCATTAAAATTGATCAAAGTGGCATTTCTGAAGGTTCAGCTTATGGTACAGTATTAACATATATTTTGATGAATCTGTCAACTTTTCTTGCAGTGCCAGTCAGTTTACCTTTTTATGACCATTATTGTATCTGGGTTTCAGAGGACAAGGTTTGGACGAATGTGGTGAATAACCTACCGGCGCAGACAGCGGTGACTGGCTCCAGCCGGGAGAGACGGATGGTACTGCAGCTGAACTACAGTGCCTCTGTGGAGCAGGTCACAGCTATAACCAACAGTGCTGAACACTGCGAGCAGCACGTAGCCTACGCCTGCCGAATGTCACGCCTACTCAACACACCAGGTACAGAGAGATCGTCTGAGTTTGTGTGTGTGTGTGTGTGTGTGTGTGCGCGCGCGCTTGTGTTGCAGAGTATAGATGCTTATAGGGACTTGTGGGGTGATAGAAGGTTATCTAAAACCTTGAATAAAAAATTTAATTTTACCCAATTGTACTGATACTTCTTACCGGAACAAATGAGGGTCAAGTGTCTTGATAACGGGGTAAACTGATGGGTAAAATAGGATTGTGACCTTAATAGCCCCTCCGTGGCTGATACGCTCCCACTCTCCACTGCTCTCTGTTTGAACCTGCTTATTTTTGGCGGTTTGCCCAGTTGCTCAACTGCAATACCACCCCAGAACGTGGTTTATGTTGGTTGTTGTTTATGGTTTCAGGAGAATTAGTGTTACATTTGCTCACTTTCTATGAGTATGTGTGGGCTAACAGCTGGACTTAACAACAAATTTGTGCTAAATGAAATCATAACAATGCAGAAGTGTTTCGACAGAAAGATATAGTTGAATTGTTAGAGAAACAAGTTAACTAAGTATGAACACATTTATGAACATTTTTTCCTGGTTAACAGGGTGGGCAGCGTAAGATTCACTCGCTAATAGCTCCATGTGCGCTCTTCTAATTAGCGGTTTATGAGATTTAAATTGACAAGCTGTTTATGGATTCTGCAGAAGAATTAGTTAAAGATTAAAATGTAACAAGTAAAGTAAATGTGATGAAAAGAGAAGGGTTTTTCAAATCTGTTCTCAAGTAAAGATCTTTGAATTGGTTAATTATGTGGAAAAAAAGCAGGGCTTTCAATTCATGTTAAGCATATTTATTTAGCATATATGGTAATAGAGTATATACTAGTCAAGTCAGGTCAAGTCACCTTTACTGGTTGTATCAAAGCAGCTTTACAGTGTCAAACAGGAAAATAGTTTTCCTCTTAATAATGCAAGAGGACAATAACAACTAGTTAATAGGAAACATGTATGCTATTGTTAAAAAGTTTGGGGTCAGTACGATTATTATTTTTATTATTATAATCAGTGTTGGGCAAGTTACTTCCAAAATGTAATACATTATATATTACTAGTTACTGTCTTTTGAAAGTAATTAGTTACATTACAATATTACTGTCTCTGAATTGTAATGCGTTACACTACTCAGCAACAGGAAATAGACGAACTATTTTACACGAGTAATTTTTTCGCTGGTGCTGTTTTGTGGTGTTAGTAAATTCACCACTTAATTTTGAGTTAAAATATGTTGTTGTAACTTGCGTTACTGAGATTGTAACGAGTAATAATATTACCCAAATTTGATTAGTAATGCGTTATATTACTGCGTTACAGCAAAAAGTAATATACTACTGTAATATTATTACTTTTGTAATGCGTTACTCCCAACACTGATTATAATTATTATTAAATCAATACTTTTCTTCAGCAACAACACATTCAGTTGACCAAAAGTGACATTAAAGACATTTAGAATGTCTCAAAAAAAATGTAACATTGATAATAAGACTTATTGTATATATCATGCAGCACAAATGTCCGTCTGTGTAACAAACTATGTGCGTATTTACAGACAAACTACATTCATGTTCATATGCCCAGACAGTCAACAGTGATAGCTTTTTGGAAACGCTGTTTTTCACTCATTCATTCACAAGTCTGTTGCGGTTCGGTCAGTTGAATATGTTGCTAACTCTGCCGGTCGAGAAAAACCTCGCGCTCGTGGGGCGAAACAGGTGACATTATTCAACTGAATGAAAGCTAAGGTTTATCCAAAATGTCGCTAGTTGCTGTACGCTTTGTCTTACAAAAAAGTAGGTAAACACTGCAACACTGGTTCGTGTGCCCCTGTGTGTGTGTCGGCGTGTGTGTGCCACGGAGGTCTGAGTGATACAAGTGCACTTAAAATACAAAGTGGAGGCGTGTCTGGATCGAATTCCCTCGGACCGGAATCCGGACTTTGAGAAGGGCTGGTATATAATGTCATATGCAGTATAATGCTGATCGAAAGATTTTCCTACTCTTTCTTTCTCATATAGCACTTCTTCTTCACCCCACAGCTTGCGATCATTCACCTTCTCTCTAATTTATTTGCTCTTCCATGCTCTGCCAGTCTTTGCCACTATCCCCTGGCACTCCTGCGACCCATTTTCTGATTACAGTTAGCAATAACAATTTGCAGCGTGGCTGTGGAACTGGGTGCTGATGCTAATCTATTAATGAGCATGCAGCACAGTGAAGGCTGCTGTGCATGTTCTTACTGCTAATCTGACTTTGGATAAAGCCTCTGCTCTTATTGTGGACTTGTCCTGTGGGATTCTCTCCCAATGCATGTATGACTCTATACCATCTATGTTAAATTAGGCATGAACAGAATGTCACTCTCAGTCCACTCTATCTGTACACATAGGTGCGGATCCCGTGGGTGCTTGGGGGGCTCGAGCACCCAGGGAATGGCAGAGCACCCATGGGAAAACCTCGAGATATTCTCTATTCACTATCATATTGGCAAAACAGATCTGGCAAACTATCCAGTGCATATTTGTGTCTGCACTCTGGAGAGCATCAAAAGGTTTCTATTTACATGTTTTTTGCAGCGTTGAGCAATCACAGGCATATGTCTGTTGATATCTTGAACGCTATTGCCAGTCAGAGGCGTTTAAGTTAGAATCCACTGACCGCTCAAAACACCAGAATTTTTGTCTTGAGTTTTTAAAGCTTGCGGATCCTTTCATTATAACAAAACTTCATGAGATCGCAATGAACTAAGACGAGAGACATCTTTTTAGTGATTTTAAAGGGAGTGCTTTTTGTGTGTTTTCTAGGCTATGTATAATCCATTCAGAATTTGTATAAAATTGTTTTTTGGCCACATGTACATGCAGTTTCGGGAATGGCATCCGCATATTTATGCAGGATTCACACTCGAAAGAGCAATGGACGGGACAAAAATATATGTGAAAATGTATGTGCATTGAGGCTAGAGCACACTCAGTATTTAATTCTGGTTAACATAGCTCATATGTAGGCGATCGCATGGAGTTCTATGTGGCAGTAGTCTATGCATCAAAGTCGCAAAAATGAGCAGGATATTTGTTCATTTCCTCCATGAAAATCTCTTTACAGTTAGAGTAAACATTAATGCACACGGGCTTCATTGAATACTGTATCTCTTGATTTTTGTCTTATGTGGATTATTTGTTTTTATTTAGTGTGAATCTCTGGTTTCTACAACTTTGATAAGTAATAAACAACGTGATATGCTGCTGGCCAATGTTAACTTTATTTTAATTTTAAAAAAAAGTATTTACCCCGTTTGCTTCTGCGAGGTATCCGTTACACATGTGTTAATATCAGTATTTATGACTGTCGAATGTCTGACTACTTGACTCTTGGTAATGTATTTTTCAATCCGTGTGTTTCTATTCACGAACTGAATTCTTCATCAAGCGTACCATCGCACGGAGAAAAAAGACTTGAAAAATGAACACCAAGTATAGGCCTATAGTTTAAGTTACAATATAAAATAATTACTGTTCAGTAATTTAATTTAATACTTTTTAAATTCCTTATTATTATTATCATCATCATCATCATTATTTGTGTTATGATATTTTTGTGCATAAAGCATTTCATTTTAATTTGTAGTAAATTAAATTTGTATATTATTATTATTATTATTTTATAATTTAATTTAATTTAATTTGATTAGAATTTAATTGAAATTTAATTAGTAATTTTAAATTGTAGTTACTATTAGTAGGAGTTGTAGTCGTATTGTTTTATAATATTTTTGTGTAAAGCATTTCATTTTAATTTATTATTTTTAATATATGTTTTATAATAATAATAATAATTTAATATGTAGTAAATTAAATATTTTAAATACTTTTATAAATTATTATTTTTATTTTTTATCATGACATATTATTATTATTATTATATTTCATAATTGTTTTCTGTCTAAATCATCTTTATTAATTCACTTTTTAGCTTTGTTTGTTTGTTTGTTTACCACTATGGGCACAAAATACAATGCAAAACTGCTCACCAGAGTCTTGTGGTCTAAACACCAATTTCTGAATCGCTCTGCTTGGTAATGACATATATTTAGTGAGATTGTGTGTGAGGTGGGAGTGTATGAGACATTACATGATGAGATTTACAGAGTAGTTTGTTTCACCTTGTTGTGTAGTGAAGGATAGCTGGCAATGTGCACTGGACTATGCCTTGTCCATCATAGCTCTGCTCTCTGGCCTTCAGTCATCTTTACTGAAGGACAATCAATGCTGTAGTATGTAGTTATGCGCTGTGTTGTCAAACGTGTAGGATGGACAGTGTCCCTCTGAGTGTTTATGTGCCCCCATGTCTAAATCAATGCAGTTTTCTAGTTATGCATGATTTATCTGTTTGATTGACCTGTTAAATGTTTCCAGATAGCTTTGTGTATCTTATAATAGGCAGACAAGATCACATTTAGGGGATCAGTGTTGTAATAGCAGGGAAAATAGTCAGCCGGTCAGCATATTGACAGAGCATATGCTCAGATGATGAGCATTAGTGCAGATTTGTGTAGTGTCCATGTCACCAGAAGCAGCATGTTGGATTTTAAATGGAATTTAACAGTGATTAGTATTGAAGATTAATTAAAAGATATTAAAGATTAGTTGTATTAATAATTAATTTTTCTATGAGCCAAGTTAGAACTACTTGTTAAATTCTGAATGATACTAAAGAGATTATTTCATGCCTTATCCCGATTTCAAGGTTAAAATTATTGCCAGTAACAGAATATACCAATACATTTTTGACATTTGTCTGCTTTTGTGCTTTTGTTATTCTGATAAGTGCATTAAAGAATTTTCATTCTTATTTTGCCATGGAATAAACTGTATGTGATGGAAAGTGTTTAATGCTATTTTTAACTCATCATCAAATGAGTGTAATTTATTAGTGTAAAATATTTGCCATTTTTGGAAATCAGCAGAATGTTTTCAAGATGCA